TGCTCTGTGGAAGACAACAGGCTTTCGGAACAGGAACATAAGACATTTAAAAGACATAAATTCAAACAGAACTGAGAATATTAACAGAACGCAGATTCCTAATTCCTGGGACTCACCTACTCCCAGGAGACAAAGGGCCACCCAGCAGAAGAGCCTGCTGGCCATGGCTGGGTGGGGCAGGAGGGGGCCCACTCAGATACGTGACTTGTTGAGCCTGAACACTGGAGCAAGGGCTTCTTGTTCCTCTGGGCTCCACAGGGTGGGGTGTATCTTGGTAGTGACATCACTCTCTGTCATTTCTCATAGGTCCTCCTCCCAAAGGGGGGATATTAATCCTCTTCAGTTGTATTGAGCGGTATAGGTCATGTCTTTTTTTGGGGGCCATTTGAGCCAGTCAAAGTCTCCAAAACTTTCAATTGTGACTTCTCACAACCCTGTGCTGCCACCATTCCTTGTTCCCTGCTATATTCATTATGTACAGTCTCCTAGACATGGGGGGTGCATGTGCCATCAGCACTGCAGGTTCTGGGCACCAAAACAGCACTTCCAGTCTCAGGTCCTTCACACTCCTCTCAGTGCACTGCCTGACTCCCAGACACACAAATCTAAATCATTTCAGGCTGACCTGAGGCTTTTCCCCAACCCATCCGAGGAGAATTTAGATGGACATATGGGTGATTATGAAGACACATAAACAGATGCCCTGGGAAAGGGGGGTTGGAGTTAACCAGGGTTGACTTTATAGTACTGGTCCTTGTACCTGGTTTAGGGGTTTAGATAATGTGAGAAATAAGACATGAGAGTTTCAAAGCAGTTGGGTATGTGGGCTGAAGTTCAGTGACTACAAAAATTGTAGGAAGCATTTTGCATTAGAAAAAGAAAGGAAAAGAGGACTGCAGAATGATGAAATGGAAATTTAGGGAGGAGATTATTTGTTTTTCACTCCATGGTATAGAATTGGTGCTGCTGTTGGATAAGACTAGAGGGAAAATGTTACAGAACATGAGGAGGTCAGGACACTGAGAAGCCAAACCTGTGTATACATTGTCTACATGATGACGATGCCACCTGTGGTAGCAGGATCAGTGGTGGGGAGGAAGGCAATGAGGACAGATCTGAGGGTAGAGGAGTCAGGGCCACATGAAAGACGGTATTCTAATCCATGTGTGTGAAGAACTGGCCATGGCCAGGAGGTCCAACAGTTCAGGTGGAGGCAAATGCAGGAAGCAAGAAAATAAACGTCAGGGTGACTAAAGTCTATGTCTCAGGTGTGGTGAGTGTTGAGCCCACAGACAGTGAGGGAGGGTTCCCTGAAGCTCATTTCCTAAGTTGTTTCCTTCGCAGGGGTTTCAAATTTGTTAGGTAATCCTTTCTGTTCTTGTCATGCCCCAAACCCATACATGTCTCATGGTGACAGCTGAGCAGAGAAGACTTTTACACAGGACACCTGGGGGCTGATGAGAGAAGGGGAAGCAGGAGGTTTCTGCACAGGGAGGGGGCGACTGTGCAGCGCTGTAACTAAGCTGCTGGCACAAAGGTACATGGCTGAGTCCCCGGGTTCTGTGGGCTGGATCTTCAGAGTGGAGAACAACTTATTAGGCATCTGAGCTGAGAATCTCTCCTTGGGTATCCCTGTCTCATCCAGAGGACTTTGATTGTGGAAGTAAATAAGTAACTTTATGCCCTGCACCAAGGTCTGTCTATACCAATAAAGGACAGGGTCGCCTGAAATTGGTTCGCAACTCAGAGTCACTCCTCGTCCCCTTGTTGTCACCTTGTGCCTGGGTGTCTGGGTGACTCCAGCATGTGCAGGCTCTGTGGAAGAAGACAGAGTTTGGGATCAGGATAAGGAACATAAATGGAAACATAACTGGGAATATCAACAAATGCAGATTCCCCACTTCTAGGGACTCACCTACTACCAGGAGACAAAGGGCCACCCAGCACAGGAGCCTGGTGGTCATGGCAGAGTGGGGGGCAGGAGAAAGCTTCACCTAGATGAGGCCCTTGTGAGCCTGTGCACAGGGGCAGGGCTTGTGGTTCCTCTGGGCTGCACAGGGTGGAGAGCGACATGGCTCTCTGTCGTTGCACAAAGATCCTCCCCCCAAAGACGAACATCAGTTCTGTGCAGCAGGTCACTGGGACGGTCTCACGGGTCCTGGGACCCAGCCCTGCACCTGGGCTCTTTCTGGTGAGAAACACCGATCATGTTTGGGCCTTTACCACCCCTCCCTGCTCTGACTTCACAGAAATCTTATCTTTAGAGCTGAGATATTTTCTTTTTATTTTTTAAAAAATCCTATATGCACTGAATTCTGGGGAGTAATACTTTACAAATGAACTTGGTAATAAGTGAGACAATTTGAAATAGAACACAGCACTAAGCATCACCCCTCTTCCACCTCCAGGCCCACTTTGTTGAATTACTGGTAAAACCTTGTTGCGGGTGGGTCACCGGCTAGCAGTGACCACGGCACACTGTATGGCTCGACAATACGCGAGAAAAAACACACATGCACAGAGACAAACCAGTTTCTGTGGGGAAGTAGGGACAGAATGGCCACCCCCCTAGTGGGGAGCGCGCCGATCCACCGTCCATACCTGCTTTTATTAGGCTCATTTTGCATAATAACTCAGGTAATGTACAATACTCATTAGGGGAAGTAACAAAGAACTCTGCCGGTCTATTGAGTTGGGGGTCAAAGAGCTGTAAGGCTGAGGAACAAACTAGCTTCCTCCTAAGACCCTCCTCATTCAACTGAGAGCATTCTTGAACAAAGAAGGTTTCACAGTAATTTACATGTTCTTTCTTAGGCCTGATCACCCCGGGAAATCCGCACTTCCCAGTACTGAGCTGTACTTTCCCGTCATTGTTTCAGGCTTAGGTGGAGCGCGGGAACTAAGGCCACCGAGAGATAAGGAGATTTTCTTCTGGACGCTGAGAACTCAGACTTTGTCAAAGCCGAGGAGTGAGGGTCCATCACCCCCCTTTTGCTGCAGCCCCCCCCAAGTCCTTCTTTTGGGGGGGCCTCCCAAAAGATGATCGTGCCTGGCTTGGGTTGTTCCCCCGTGGGAATCTTACCCGTCTTTGGCTAACCGACCAAGCTTTTTGGGGTTCGGCAGCAGAAACAGCATTACTGCCAGGGAGATAAGCTTTTGTCTCCTTGCCGGCTCACGGTTCCAAGGGCGTTCCCTTAGCCTTAGCTAGGCGGGGGTTTCAGCTTCTAATACCAGTCAGGGCGGTTCCCAACAAAACCTTGATCTGTACATTTCATAGATTTGTTCTGGCTCGTGTAAATTGATAGTAAAAACAAGGCATACCGGAAAGACATGTGCTTTTGTTATTAGCAAAGTAGAAAGCTTCTGTGCATTATCACGTAATTTCTAACATTTAATCAAAATATACAAACAATTTTATGTGCATTAGGTACAAATCTGCATCTATTTATTTGCCTCCTTTCCTTATTGATTTATATATGTATATATTCACATAAATGGGATCATATCCTAGTTTTTGCTTCATTATTTAGATAGTGTAGCTTCCTTATATACTGATTGTATGATTACAAAGTTCCTTTTTTTTTAAAAGTGTTTTATTTACTTATTTTAGAAGAGAGGAGATGGGAAGGATAAAGAGAGGGAAACATCAGTGTGTGGTTGCCTCTCTTGCGCCCCCTCCTGGGGATCTGGCCATGACACAGGCATGTGACCTGACTGGGAAGTGAGCCTCTGACCTTTTGGTTCCCAGGCCAGCACTCAGTCCACTGAGCCACACCAGCCAGGGATGCAGTTTCTGATTTTAATAAAATGACACCAACACACCAGGTCAGGGGAAATAGGTTCTTTAGATGTCAGCAACGTGTCCCATTGACCTAAGCATTTCCTGTGCACAGCGGGGAATGAATGAAAGCCTCTTCAGCGAAGATCAGAGAATCCCAGTCAGTGACCAGGCTGTGTCGTCATCACTGCCCAATGCTCTCAGTGACTCAGGAACTCCCACCTTGTTGTCTGTAGGTGCCCAGAGGAAGAAGGACTTACCACCAGTTGACATTAAAATATCCAACAATACACCTGGTTTAGACAATGGGAGAATTATGAACATATGACTTTAGAAGCTGTTAAGTACATGAACTGAGGGTCAGTGGCTAAAGGAATCTCAGGAGGGTGGTGCTGAATTAGTGAGAAGGACACCAACGTGAAGAGGTAGGAGAATGAGATGATCAAAATGGCAATGCTGGAAGGAGCTCATTGATGTCTCATTCCACAGACGGGAATGACTGAAGTGTGTCTGAAAAGTGTTGGAGGTAAAAATCATTGCAAGTCAGGAGGCCAGGAGACTCAGACACCAAACCCCTGTGGAAAGTGTCTGTGTGATGGTGACGTCTCCAATGGTGACAGCTTTGCTGGTGGGGGAAAGAAGTGAATGAGGACAGATCTGACGGCAGAGAAATAGCAATAAGTTCAGCAACAAAGGGCGATGTTCTGAGGCATGTGTGTGGGGAGTGGGTGTTGAAGGCGAAGAGAGGGGCCTGGTCTGGGAGGAGCAGGGAAGACCCAGGAGGATAAAGTATGCACTGAAATAGGACACAAAATGGTCAATTCTATGTTGTGAAATAAATACAGAAGAAATTTTATGGCGTTCCCATCTGAAAGGGCAGTGTGTCTTAATGATATGTATAATTTAACAGAATGATAAGTACAATTTGGCTACATGATAGAACCCTGGAAAATATTTGTGTGTGTGTGGTAGGGAGAATTCTGTTAGCATCTTAGAGGGAAAGGAGAATGGAGGGCTGAGGAGCCCTTAGCAGGAGCTCCTACTGTTTAGAAGGAAAGGCCAGTGCAGGAAGGCAGGAAATTGCTCAGTGTTGGTAACTAAGGTCTGTCCCCTGGTGAGCAGAGTGTTGAGCCCACAATTTGGGAGGAAAACCTAAACCACATTTTCTACACTGTTTCCCACACAAGAATTTTAAATTCATAACTTATCCTTTCTCTGCTTGTCATGTCCCAAAGCTACACTTGTCTCCTAGAGAGAATGGAGCAGAGGATTGTTTTATCCACGACACCTGGTGGCTGATGAGAGAAGGGGAAACAGGAGGTTCCTGCACAGGGAGGGGGTGACTGTGCAGCGCTGTGGCTAATCTGCTGGCACAGAGGTACACGGCTGAGTCCTCAGGTTCTGTGGGCTGGATCTTCAGAGTGGAGAATGACTTATTAAGCATCTCAGCTGAGAATCGCTCATTGGGCATTCCTGACTTGTCCAAAGGTTTGGCATAGCTGAAGGAAATCAGAAACTTTATGCCTTCCACTGAGGTCTGTCTGTACCAGTAAAGGTAGTCATGGCCTGCAATTGGCTCACAAGTCAGAGCCACTTCTTGTCCTCGGTCTGTCACCTTGTGTCTGGGTGTCTGGGTGACCCCAGCATGTATGGGCTCTGTGGAAGAAGACAGAGTTTGGGTATAGGATAAGGAACATAAGTGAAATCACAATTGGTAATACCAAAAAAATTAGATTTTTCATTTCTGGGGACTCACCTCTGCTCAGGAGACAAAGGGCCACCCAACAGAGGAGCCTGGTGGCCATGGCAGCGTGGGACACGTGGAGGCTCCACCCAGGTGAGCACCTTGTGACCCTGAACACAGGAGCAGGGTTTCTGGTTCCTCTGGGCTCCACAAAGTGGAGTGTGTCTTGGCAGTGACATCACTCTCTGTCATTTCTCATAGGACCTCGTACCAATGGTGCATATTAATTGTCAGTTGAATTGACTGGAATAGGCCATGTCTCTTTTAGGGTTTGTTTGGACCATTCAAAGTCTCCAGGACTTCTATCAAGTGTCACTTCTCACAACCCTGTGCTTCCACCATTCCTTCTTCCCTGATGTCTCCATAGTCTACCATCTGCCTGCCATGGCGGCATGCGTGTGCCATAGCCACTGCCGAATGTGGCCAAAAAGACAATACTCTGATCTTCGCATCCTTCATAGCCCTGTCAAGGCACTGCCTGACTCCCAGACACACAAATCTGAGTAATTCCTGGCTGAGCTGGGGCTTTTTCCTAATCTGTCCCAGTATCATTTAGCTTGCACACAAGGGTGATTGTGAAGGGAGGGAAACAGATGCCCTGGGAAAGGAGGGTTGGATTTAACCAGGGTTGACGTTATAACTCATCCTTGTACCTGGTTTAGATAATGTGAGAAATAAGACCTGAGAGTTTGAGAGCAGTTGGGCATGTGGGCTGTATTTCAGAGACTATGAGAATCACAGGGAGTGGATTTTGCATTAAAGAAAGGAGAAAGACCTAGGAATATGGAATGTGAAATGGACATTTTGGAAGGAGATTATCTTTGCTCACTGCATGGTCTCGACTTGGACGTGCTCTTGGATAGGATTGGACACAAAATATTACTGAATGTGAAGACACCAGGAAACTGGGAAGCAAACCCGTGTATAAACTGTCCACAGGCTGATGAGGTCCCCAGTGTGTGGCAGGATCCGTGGTGGGGAGGAAGGGAGTGAGGACAGGTCCGAGGGTAGAGAAGTCAGGGCAACATGAAAGGCCGTGTTGTAATCCACCTGTGTGAGAAGCTGGGTATTAAAACCAGGTTAGGGGAATGTTCTAGAATAAGTAGTTACGATTTGCAAGACCAAGAATGCACTGAAATTGGACAGAGAAGCAGATTCCAACTCTTAATATCAAAGTAGGAATCTTATTCTATTAGCAACTTGAAGATCAGGATCCTTGGATGACAGAATGAACAATGACTAATGAAATTTGGCTATAAGACAGTGTCTAGAAAATGTGTGCGTGTGTGTGTGTGTGTGTGTTCATGGAGGGATTCTATTTTCAGCTTAGAAGGTGAGAAGAATGGATGGTTGAGGAGTCCATAGTGGGAGTTCCTGTGGTTTAGATGGAGGGGCCAGGGTAAGAAGGCTGGAACATGCACAGTGTGGGTAACTGAGGTCTGTCTCTCAGGTGTGGGGAGTGCTGAGCCCACAGACAGTGTGTGAGGAAAATCTAAAGCCCATTTCCTACATTGTTCCCTTCACGGGGGTTTCTCTGTTGATACCTTTTGCTTTCTGCCCTTGTCATGCCCCAAACCCACACATGTCTCTGGATACAAGTGGAGCAGAGAAGTGTTTTACACAGGACACCTGGGGGCCGGTGAGAGAAGAGGAAGCAGGAGGTTTCTGCACAGGGAGGGGGTGACTGTGCAGCGCTGTGGCTGAGCTGCTGGCACAGAGGTACACGGCTGAGTCCCCGGGATTCTGTGGGTCTGGATCGTCAGAGTGGAGAACGACTCATTAGGCATCTGAGCTGAGAATCTCTCCTTGGGCAACCCTGTCTCATCCAGAGGTTTTGTAAATCTGAAGGAAATCAGAAACTCCATTCCTTTCACTGAGCTCTGTCTGTACCAGTAAAGATCATTATGGCCTGGAATTGGCTCACAACTCATAGTCACTCGTTGTCCCCTCTTTGTAACCTTGTGCCTGGGTGTCTGGGTGACTCCAGCATGTGTGGAATCTGTGGAAGAGGACAGAGTTTGGGAACAAATTAAGAGACATAAATAGAAACAGAACTGAGAATATTAACAAAATGCAGATTCTTAATTTCTTGGGACTCACCTACTCCCAAGAGACAAAGGGCCACCCAGCCCAAGAGCCTGGTGGCCATGGCAGTAGGGGGGGCAGGAGGAGGCTTCACCCAGAGGGAGGCCCTTGTGAGCGCCACTGCGGGGAGGGCTTGTGGTTCCTCTGGGCTGCACAGGGTGGAGAGTGACACGGCTCTCTGTCGTTGCACAAAGAACCTCCGCCCACAGGTGAACATCAGTTCTGTGCAGCAGGTCACTGGGACGGTCTCACGGGTCCTGGGACCCAGCCCTGCACCTGGGCTCTTTCTGGTGAGAAACACCGATCATGTTTGGGCCTCTACCACCCCTCCCTGCTCTGACTTCACACATCTCTCTCTTTATAGCTGAGAATTCTCCCTTGTTTTCATTTTTAAAAGATCTTTAATGCCCTGAAAAAATACTGGGGAAAAACGCTATACAAAAGACCTGGTAATAAGTGAGACAAATTTATATGGAACACAGCACTAACCATCACCCCTTTTCCATCCCCAGTCCCACCTTGCTGAATTACTGGGAAAAACTTGATCTGTACGTCTCATAGATTTGTCCTGGCTCACATAAATTTATAGTAAAACAAGGCATACCTGAAAGACATGTGCTTTTGTTCTTAGAAAAATAGAAAGGGCTTGTATGGATTATCATGTAATTTCTAAAATAAAGAAAATATACAAACAGTCCTATGCATCAGTAGATGTAAATCTATATCTATGCATTTGCCTGCTTTCTTTATTCATATATATGATTTCACATGAATGGGATCATATCCTAATTTGAGCTTCATTATTAAGTTATTGCATGAGCTTCATTATTGATTGACTGTACTGTTACAAAGTTTCTTTTTAATTAAAAATTTAATTTATTTAATTTTAGAGACAGGGGAAGGGAAGGAGAAGAGAAACAACAATGTGTGGTTGCCTCTCATGCGCCCCCTACTGGGGTCCTGGCAATAACGCACGCTGTGACCTGACTGGGTAGTAAAGCAGCCGCTCTTTGGTTCACAGGCCAGCACTCAATCCACTGAACACCCCAGCAAAGGCTGAAGTTTCTGATTTTAATAACATGACACCAACACACTAGATCAGGGAAAATAGATTCTTTAAATGTCAGCAAAGCATCCTATTGACCTATGCATTCCCTGTGCACAGCAGGGATCCAACGGAAGTCCCTTCACTGAGGATCAGAGAATCCCTGTCAGCGACCAGGCTGTGTCGTCATCACTGCCCAGTGCTCTCAGTGACTCAGGAACTCCCACCTTGTTGTCTGTAGGTGCCCAGAGGAAAAAGGACTTACCACCAGTTGACATTACAGTATCCAACAATACACCTGGTTTAGACAATGGGGGAATTATGAACATATGAGTTTAAAAGCTGTTTAGTTCATGAACTGAGGGTCAGTGGTTAAAGGAATCTTAGGAGGATGCTGCTTGACTAGGGAGAAGAAAAGCAACGTGAAGAGGTAGGAGAATGAGATGACTGAAATGGCAATGTGGGAAGGAGCTCATTGGTGTCTCATTCCACAGACGGAAATGACTGAAGTGCACTTCAAAAAAATGGTAGGTAAAAATTACTGAAAGTGAGGAGGCCAAGAGACTGAGACACCAAACCCCTGTGGAACGTGTGTGTGTGATGATGACGTCCCCAATGTTGACAGGTTTACTGGTGGGGAGAAGAAGTGAATGAGGACAGATCTGACGGTAGGGAGGTAGCAGTAAGCTCAGCAATGAAGAACGATGTTCAAAGGGATATGTGTGAGGAGTGGGTGGTGAAGCCACGTTGAGCGGACTGGTCTGGGAGGAGCAAGGCGGACCCGGGAGGATAAAAAATGCACTGAAATACGACATAAAATGTTTGATTCTGTGTTGTGACATGAAGAGCATTTGCTATTTTAAAAGGCAAAGCATGTAAGTGGCAAAAAACTAAGAAAATAATAGTGCAATTTGGTCACATAAAACAACTGAAAAAGCCTGTTTGGGCCCTGACTGGTGTGGCTCAGTTGGCTGGAGCATCACCATGCAAAGTGAAAGTCTCCTATTGGATCCCTGGTCAGGGCACATGCCAGGGTTGTGGGTTTGGTCCCTACTTGGGTTGTGTAGGAGAGACAGCCAATCAACTCTCCCTTCACATGGGTGTTTCTCTCACTCTCTTTCTTCCTCCTTTCCCCTTCTCTCAAAAATAAATAAAGAGAATCATGTAAGAAAAACCTGTGTGTCAGGGAATGATTCTGTTAACAGCTTACATTGATGAGAGAATAGAGGTGTGAGGAGCAAATACCAGGAGCTACTATGGTGCAGATGGAGACACGGGTGCAGGAAGGCAGAGACCTGCACTGTTGGGGTCGCCAAGGCTTCTTGTCTGGTGCGGTGAGTTCTCAGACCACAGACGATATGTTGAGAATTTTTGAAGCCCATTTCCTATCTTGTTTTCTACTCAAGTTGCCCTGCTGATACCTAATCCTTTCAGTCCTTGACATTTCCCCAAACCCATGCCTTTCTCCTGGTGAGAGCAGAGCAGAGAAGACTTTCACTCACACCTCCTGGTGACTGAAGAGAAAGGGGAAGCGGGAGGTTTCTTCACAGGGAGGGGGCGACTGTGCAGCGCTGTGGCTAAGCTGCTGGCACAGAGGTACACAGCTGAGTCCCCGGGTTCTGTGGGCTGGATCTTCAGAGTGGAGAGTGACGCACTGGGCATGCGAGCTGTGAATCGCTCCTTGGGCAGCCCTGTCTCATCCAGAGGTTTTGCATAGCTGAAGGAAATCAGAAACTCCATTCCCTTCACTGAGGTCTGTCTGTACCAGTAAAGGTTGTTATGGCCCGAAATTGGCTCACAACTCAAAATCACTCCTTTTCCCCTCTTTGTCACCTTGTGCCTGGGTGTCTGGGTGACACCAGCAATTGTGTGCTCTGTGGAAGACAACAGAGTTTCAGGACAGGAACATAAGACATTTAAAAGACATAAAT